AATCTGCCTGCCAATGCAGGGGGCACGGGTTTGAGCCCTGGTCCGGGAAGATGCCACATAGCACAGCAACTAAGCCCATGCACCACAACTACTGAGCCTGTGGTCTAGAGCCTGTGAGGCACAACTACTGAGCCCTCGTGCCACAACGACTAAAGCCCATGCGCCTAAGAGCCTGTGCTCTGCAACAAGAGAAGCCACTGCAATGAGAAGCCCACGCGCCGCAACAAAGAGTAGCCCCCACTCGCCACAACTAGAGAAAGCCTGCACGCAGCAGCAAAGACCCAACACAGCCAAAAAAAAAAAAAGTAAGAACCATTCATTCCTAGCTTATAGGTTATACAACAGTGAGTGAGCAGGGGGTCATGGTTCACTGGCCCTGCTCTAGGAGCACTGGTCTGGGCACTAGGGGAGCTCATACATCCGGTCATTGTTTCTAGATCTTTTCAGTGCCCATGTCTGGGAAATACATATTTATTTTAAAGAGAAAACTTCTCATGAGTTCATACTGATATTTCTAGTTCATATTTAAGACTAGGATTTACTGAATTTATTTGATGTTCTGTTTGTAATTTAGGACATTTCTATTTTTGTTTTGTTTTGCTATTTGTGTCACTTTTTAAAAAATTTATTTATTTATTTATTTATGGATGCTTTGGGTCTTAGTTGCAGCACATGGGATCTTCATTGCGGGATCTTTTAGTTGCAGCATGTGGGATCTTTTTAGTTGTGGCGTGCGAACCCTTAGTTGCCGCATGTGGGATCTAGTTCCCTGACCGGGGATTGAACCCGGGCCCCCTGTATTGGGAGTGCAGCGTCTTAGCCACTGGACCACCGGGGAAGTCCCTAGGACAGTATGTTTTGGACCGTGGTCCCACATCTTGCTGAGTTCAGGGAATGATGTGTGTGTCTCCCAGGCTGTTCTCAGGCCAGTTCCCTGACAAGAATTGAAGGTGTCTTTCAGCCTTCTAGTCTGGGCTGCCTGCATGGGAGATATAGCAGGATCTCTGGGGTACTGTGTGCAGGCCTTGTACCCTGGGAATGCCAGGGCCCCGTGGAGCAGCACCTTTTCATTAGAGGGGCATTGTCCTTAACCACTCAGAATTTATCTTACTGGAGAACCTGACTTCCCGTTATGAGGTGCCTTGTGTCCTGGACCTCAAGATGGGTACGCGCCAGCATGGTGACGATGCTTCAGAGGAGAAGGCAGCCAACCAGATCCGCAAATGCCAGCAGAGCACGTCTGCAGTCATTGGTGTGCGCGTGTGTGGCATGCAGGTGAGAGGAGTGCAGGTGCGTGGTGTGGGCTGGCTGGGGCATCCAGGAGCTGCCATTCTCCCATCGTGGCATAGTCCCGTTTTCTCAAAAGATTCCAGATTTGAATGAACCTGTCACTTTCTGGTTAGAAAAGGAAGCATGCATGCATGGGTAATCGTCTCTGGGGCTGACCTGGTTGGCTGAGTCCAGAGGCTGTGGACAGGAGGGGGAGAAAGGCAAAAAAGTTAGGCCCTCTCCACCAACACATACACTGAGCAGGGGGCTGGTGATGGAACCGAGGTCAGAGGGCTGTATCCTGAGTGGGTGTTGATTGGCAAGGACAGTGTCTCTTGTGATACTTAACAAATTAAAGGATCTGATCCAGGACTGTCATATCGCTGCCACTCCCCAGGGTCTAGGCCCTGAGATGGCTGTCAGCACCTCACCTGCTGGTCTCCCTCCCACAGGTATACCAGGCAGGCAGTGGGCAGCTCATGTTCATGAACAAGTACCACGGCCGGAAGCTGTCCGTGCAGGGCTTCAAGGAGGCACTTTTCCAGTTTTTCCACAACGGGCGGTACCTGCGCCGCGAGCTCCTGGGCCCTGTGCTTAGGAAGCTGACTGAACTCAAGTCCGTGTTGGAGCGACAAGAATCCTACCGCTTCTACTCAAGCTCCCTGCTGGTCATTTATGATGGCAAGGAGCGGCCTGAAGTGGCCCTGGACTCAGATGCTGAGGACTTGGAGGACCTGTCAGAGGAGTCAGCCGACGAGTCGGCTGGTGCCTATGCCTACAAGCCCATCGGCACCAGCTCGGTGGACGTGCGCATGATCGATTTCGCACACACCACTTGCAGGCTGTATGGTGAGGACAGTGTGGTACACGAGGGCCAGGATGCTGGCTATATCTTTGGGCTCCAGAGCCTGATAGACATTGTTACAGAGATAAGTGAGGAAAGTGGGGAGTGAGCTTGCTGGCTGCAGCAGTACCTGAGAGACTCTCTGTGTCCCAGGCACAGCTGTGCTGCGTCGGGGAGGAGGCCAGTATGGCCAGGCGGTGGCCCCTGCAGCCTGGAGCTGATGCGCAGAGGCCTCTATGAGTCCCAGCCTGAGCCAGCCCCAACCGCTGTCGGAGTCTTTATTTATTTTAACTCTCTTCAACATTCCACATTTGATGATGCAGATACCTCTTTCTTCCCTGAGTGTAAATGTTCTAATACAAATCTTTTTGTTAATTGTACACAGTGCTGCTGTCGTTCTTGCCCAAGGATAGGCAGCCAGCCCCCCTCCCAAACCTCAGAAACATCACATATGCCATGACCTTCACCCTGGCCCCGCAATATATTCCTTCCAGTGACCCCATCCCATGGACCCTAAAGTCACCATAGCCTCTTGGCTTAGTCCTCAGTCCCTTAACCGAGCACCCACACACATAACCGTAAATGGGTCCCTCTGGGATCTGTGCTGGTCTGTCCCAGCACCCCTTACGCAGAGAACTACACTTGACTGTTGATACAGGTCTTTCCCTGCCCTCATGTAGCTTAAGCCAAGGTTGGGCAGCAGGTGTGCCAAACCTTGGGTCCAGCTCCTGTGCCACTGGTAGCAGCTAGTTGGCTGGACATTGTGATGTCAGACATCCTGGAGTCAATACTGGGGCCTCAGGTAGCCACCAGGCTTTGGTCTGTTGGCAGCCATTGGCTCTGTGGTCAAGGTCTTAGGAGGTCCCAGAAGGTGGGTGGCTTGATGGAAGGGGTTCTGAGCAGTGTGGTCCTCTTGGCCACACCACCTGTCACCACTCCTACGCAGCCCTGGACCCCACTGCAACCACGCTAGTGTCATCCTTCATGTGGCTCCAGCCAGGGCAGCCCCTAAGAGAGCTACTTGTGCTCTGTGCTAGGATGGTTTCAGGGAGAGGTGTGGCAAGAGGTCTTGAACTGCAGACCCAGACACCAGGGAGAAGGACACAGAACCAGTGCTAAGAAGGTAGGGTCTGGATGTCCAGTTTTAGCAGCCCCACCCCTTGCCTTGCCTGAACCTCCTAGCACCTCCTCTCCAAGGTCCATTATGCCTGTATCCACTACGTCCAAAAACAGGCCAACTGCATACACTGGCCTGGTTGTGCCTACAGCCCCTTCTCCCTGGGCCCAGGCTTCCAGAGGGGAATGTGGCTGGAGCAGCCCCTGGACAGAAATGGGAGGTCCCCAGGACCCTTAGGATCTCTCCCCGGAGTTTCCCCCTTCCCTCCTAGGACTTCAAAGACCTCACCAAGTCAGGGCTGACCGGAAGGTGGGCCAAACAAGCTCTTAAGGCCACATGGTGCCCCACTCCCCATCCTCCACCAGCCCTTCTGTCTGCTCTCAGAAGGAAGCATGAGAAATAAGATAACCTGGAGTTGTAAGTTCCCAAAGACAACAGAACAGAGTGATGTGATAGCGATTGATAGGGGTGGGAGCCTGCGGACTTTATACTGTGAGGAAGGGAAGTGTGTCCCAGGCAGAGGAAACTATGCAAAGACCCACATTACAGAGGACGAGAGAAGCTAGTAGCCGAAAAGAGGAGGTGGGGTGGGGAGCAAGGATGGGAGGACTTTGGACAGAGAAATGGCCCCCCGTGGGTTTTGTTTTTACCGTCCCCCCCTCACTCTTGCTCCGCGTTGCCCACCACTGGGGCGGTAAGCGGGGTCAGGAGGCCTAGAGACACGGAGCAGACCCGGGCCCCGCGGGCGCCTCCAAGTGTCTCAAGATACAACAACGGGACTACCCTCACGGGGTCGCTGTCCTTATGTTAGTAGGTCAGGTCCCACTCCCCTGGGGTGGCAAGGACGCATGGGACTGTCAGCATCGGACAGAGGCTCTGTCTTTGGGCTGCGGGCGGAGCGCTCCTTCGGGAAGGCGGATGGGCCGCAGCACTAGGGCTTGGGCGGGTAAAGGGAGTGGAGGGCCGGGCGGGAAAGCTGGGTCTGGGGCTCTAGGTAGGGTGCTGGGGCAGGGAGTCGGGAGCTTGGAGACGCAGAAGTCCACGGAAGGGGCGGAAAGGGCAGCGGGTTCTCGGAGGCCGCGCCGGGCCGCGCAGCCTGTGGACACTAGGGGGCGCCGCGCTTCTGCGCAGGAGCCGACACATCCTGGGGCGGGGCTGCGGCGGGCGGGCGGGCGCGCGCGCGCGCGCACGCGCCGTGTGTCACGGGGCAGGGCGAGCGCGGTGAGGCGCTCCCGGCCTGGCGTCCTGGTTTCGCAGACCCTGCCGTCTCTCCTGCCCCGGCCCGACTCACCCTCATGTACCGCGCGCTGTACGCGTTCCGCTCGGCGGAGCCCAACGCGCTGGCGTTCGCCGCGGGCGAGACCTTCCTGGTTCTGGAGCGCAGCAGCGCGCACTGGTGGCTGGCGGCGCGGGCGCGCAGTGGCGAGACGGGCTACGTGCCGCCCGCCTACCTGCGCCGCCTGCAGGTGAGTGTGCCCCTCCCCGGCCCGGCCTCAGCCGCCCCTAGACTGAGCTCCAACATAGGCTCGCAGGACAGACCCCGGCACCCCAGGCCCGCCGGGACCTCCAGCAGATAAGGAGTTTGAGAACCTGACCGTGAAACCCCAGGAGGACTGGGACCCTAAGAGCCCGCGCCCCAACCCAAGACCAGGGCCTTGACAGCCAACTCTGAGGACTCAGATCTACCAAAAGCCCAGCTCTGGGACTGAGACTCCTCGGAATCCCAGAGCCATTGGGCCCCAACATCTGAACCTCCATCCGAATAGAATTCAAGAGTCAGTCCTGAGATTACAGCACACCAAATTCTGAGCAGTTCCCCAGATCATTGAGACCCCAGAATTAATTGGCCCCTTCCCTGGATCACCAGGATCCCACACTTTTGCCTCCTTTTCCTCAGCTTCCACCACTGAGACCCGGGCAACCCTGGACACTGCCTGTTTCCCCACCATCTTCCATGCCTTTACACCCCCTCTCCCATTTGGACCTGAGAGCCATGGACACCCCCCTCCCCTAAATGACCCCCCAAGCCCTGAGACCTCAGTATCTTTTACTTTCCTGTACTCAGTCACCCCCTAAGCCTTTCCTAAGACACCTTCGTCAGTTCACTTTGAACCAGGGATCCCAGGCCCTGCTGACGCTCCCTGGCACTACTCTCTTTCACAAGCCTCAGGCCCTGACTTTTCAGACTTCCTTTCTCTGAAGATGAGGGAGCTCCATCCCTCCTTGGCCCCCAGCCTGGGGTGGGGGCTGCTCCCATTGCAAGGAAGTGAGACCTCCCCATGGCGTCCCCGGTCTGGCTTTGGCCCCATTTCCTTCCAGTGGAGTCTGCAGCCCCAGTTCCTGTTTCCCCAAGAATAGTCCTGGTATGGGGGCTGGGATGTGTTGTCTCCAGCTGGTCTATTCTGATCACAGGGGGAAGGAGGGCCTGGAGCCTCCAGGTCTGCCCTGTGCCAGACACCCCCGCCCCATCCTAGTCCATAGCCTTTAGGAAACATCCTGTCCCAGCCCAGTTCAAGACAAAAATAACAGGATAAATTTGGAGATGTCATCTGGTCTTACCAGAGAGGATGGGCCCTGGTCCCTAAACCCTTGGCCTCATGGCATCTAGGAGTGTCTGGGTAAGAGTGAGAGCCCTGGACACCAGGGCTGCTGGGTCCAGGGTGAGCATGTCAGACCCAGCCTCTCTGGAGCTGGGAGCTTGTTGGAGCCTCTGAGGAAAGTCCTGCCTCTTCCCCAAGGGCCCAAGAGGCCCCTCCCCTGCCTGGGCCACTGGGGCTGGGTGTTTGGGGAGGGCAGAGAGGCTACCATCTTGTCTATCTGTTGGTTTCTTGCTGCATGTCTCCCTCTGCCTTCGTCTCCGTGGCTCTCTCTGTATCTCGGTGTCATTCTGACTCTCTGCTTGTGTGTGTTTCTTCCTCCGACTCTCTTCCCTTCTCTGTCTCCAAATCTCAATTTCTTTCTGCGTGTCTCCCTCTGCTTCTCTCTCTCTCTCCCTCTCTCTCTCCCTCCCTCCCTCTCTCTCTCTCTCTCCATCTTTCTTGCTTTCTGTGTATCATCTGTCTTTCTCTGTCCCCCTTTCTGTCTGCTGTCTCCTGCACTCTGACACGCCCCGTGCTACCTGGAGGGCTTTGTTGACCTCTGAGTCCATCTGTCTGTCCCCATCAGAGAAGCTTCTCAAACCCACTCTGGTGTGATGTCACCTTAGTTCTGAGGCTCCTATGTCTGATGGACCATGTGTGCCAGGGGCAGCGAAGGGTGGGAGTGGCTGGTCCCACAGCTGCCACCCCCTACTCTGTACCCCATGCCAGCCAGGCTGGGTAGATTGGACCCCTGAGTTGCTGCGGATGGCAACACAGAATCTGGGGCAGGGGCCAGGTCCTGTGCTTATGTCTGTCTGTTGCCACAGACACAGAACTGCTGCTTCCCAGTGCAGGTCTGGAGGATTCCTGGAATAGCTTGAGGGGATGGGGGCTGGCAGCAGGGGTGGAGAGAGGCGATCCCTTTGGCCTGTCCTCAGCTACTAGGGCCTGCAGAAGGCTCTCTGAGGACAGGGCCGTCCTGGAGTGTGACCTTGGTTTTGTGAAGGATCAGCAAGATCCAGAGTGATTTGTTAAGACTTCCAGACACTAGAGGCTCCCTGCTTGGCATCTCAGCCTGGGATCTGAGCCAAGCCTGGGGATAGACTAAGTGTGTACTCCTGGACTCAAACTGAGGGTCCATGGGCTGTGGTATTGCTCTAGACCCCAGGTTTTCGGCGACATCTTAGCTGAGAGCCTCACTGTGAGGTAAAATCCTGCTCGGGGCCCCAATATATAAAGCAGCAGCATGGGCCTTCCCTGTGGCCCAGCTCCCTGAGTGACGCAGTTTGAGAAGCCCATTTCATATTCTAGTTCAGCTTGCTGTGTTCACATCTGGCATTACAGGCTTTAGCTGTAGTGGTCCTTTGTCTGCCCCGGGCTCCATCCTGGGCTGGCTCTGGGCTCAGTACCTCACTTGGCCCCCAGGCCTAACTGCCCACCCCTGCCCCCACAGGGCCTGGAGCAGGATGTCCTCCAAGCCATTGACAGGGCCATTGAGGCTGTGCACAATGCAGCCATGCGGGATGGTGGCAAGTACAGCCTGGAGCAGCGCGGGATCCTCCAGTGAGTGGGGCGGGAGAACCGCCCAGTAAGCACCGTGGGGTGGGGTCCTTCAGTGAGTACTGGGGACGCCAGAGAGCAGTGTTGGTAGCGCAGAGTGGGGTGGAGCCTGAGGGCAGTGGGAGGTTGGGGAGCTTGGGCTAGGGTGGGCCGCATCCCACGAGGAGCATGTGAGGACTTCGGGAGTCGTAAGGTAACTCCCCCAATAACCTCCCTGTCCCTCCCTCAGGAAGCTGATCCACCACCGGAAAGAGACCCTGTCCCGCAGAGGCCCCTCAGCCCCCAACCCTGCAGCTATGACCCCGTCCACCAGTGACCACCACCTGGATGCTGCTGCTGCCAGGCAGCCCAATGGGGTGTGTAGAGCTGGATTCGAGCGGCAGCACAGCCTGCCCAGTTCTGAGTATCTTGGGGCAGATGGAGGCCTCTACCAGGTACATGGTGAGAACATCCTAGGAAAGGGAGGTGGGTGGAGCTTAAGGCTTTGTCCAGAGGCGCCAGGGGTCCACTGGGGTCAGCGATGCCGCCTGGAACCATAGTCCTGCCCATGCCAAGCTCAGGGCGCTAGCCAGGTTGTACCCTCAGATCCCACTTCTGTCCTCCCAGATCCCACCACAGCCTCGCCGAGCAGCACCCGCCACGCCACCCCCACCTGTGAAGCGCCGAGACCGCGAGGCCCTACTGGCCTCGGGGAGTGGTGAGAAGGCGGGGTTGGGGGACTCGGGGGGCACCCTGTACTTGGAATGGTTACTCTGCCTATGTCAGGGAACTGGGGGCTCCAGGCTTGGGGGGAAGACAGGGCACGTGTTGGGGCAATTGGGGGTTCTGGGCTTGGTGGGAGGGTCTGGCATAGGAACTAGGCCCTGTACTGGGGGGCGGGGGCTCTGGGCTTGGAGGGGTTGGGGCCCCCAGGGGGCTACCCTAGCACAGCATCCCCTCTCTGCCCACAGGCGGCCGCAACACCACACCCTCTGGGGGCAGTTCTGTGTCCAGCGGCTCCTCTGTCAGCAGCACCTCCCTTGACACACTCTATACCGGCTCCAGCTCATCGGAGCCAGGCCCCAGCTGCTCACCCACGCCCCCACCTGTGCCCCGCCGAGGCACGCATACCACTGTGTCCCAAGCTCAGCCCCCTCCCTCCAAGGTGCTAAACTCGGAGCCCCCTACAGAGGAGGCAGCAGTTGATACAGCCCCAGCCCCTGATGAGCTGGAAGCCCTGGGTGCACTGAGCCTGGGGACCACAGAAGAGAAGGCGCTGGCTGAGACTGCTGTGCCCAGGACCATTGGGGCAGAGCTGATGGAGCTCGTGCGGAGGAACACCGGCCTGAGCCACGAGCTGTGCCGAGTGGCCATTGGCGTCGTGGTGGGTCACATCCAGGCCTCAGTGCCGGCCAGCTCACCTATCATGGAGCAGGTCCTCCTCTCACTGGTAGAGGGCAAGGTGAGGGTGGGCAACAGGGCCAGGGGCCTCCCCATCCTGGGGCTGCCCTACAGCCCCTGCCCCTTCCCCACCCTCACACTGTGTCCAGCCTTTACCTGACAGGTCTTTGTTGAGCTCTAGCTCTTGGCTTCCTTGTGCTGGGTACTGGGGACATTTGGGCTGATCCCTGAAGGAGAAAGGGAGGAAGAGTATTCCAGGCAGAGGCTCAGGCTGGACGAGGGCCATGAGGCAGGACCGAGCTTGGCTCACAGGAAGAAGTGGAACAAGGCCAGCATGGCTGGAACACAGCGGGTGAGGGAGGGAGCAAGTGGTGTGGTTGGAGGTGAGACCTGGGGCAGGTGACAGATGAGACAGCCGTGGGTGGCCAGGAGTTCTCTCAGGCTGCAGGGAAGGAATGGACATAAGGCATGAGAGAGGGCAGTGTCATGCTGGCCTTGGCAGTGGAGAGCAGTGGGTGCTTCGAGAGCTATGATGGAGGCCTGAGTGCTGACTGAGATGTGAATGAGGTATGTGTGGATCATGGGCGGGTGGGATCCTTTGCCAAGGTTGGGGCACTGGTCAGGGAGCAGGATTGGGGGGGCATGAGTCAAGTCTACACGGTGGGGGCCAGATGGGCCAGAGGTCTCTCCTTAGGGCTCCATGGCTCCTGCAGCTCTGGTTTGGGGTGTGGGGAGCAGTGAGTCAGTGGGCTTGCCTGTGCTGGGACACTGGATCAAGAGGAACACGGCAGGTGGGTAGATGACAGGCCTGTCCCACTTTGTGTAGAATCAGGGGGTGGAGTCTCAGTCACATTCAGGCGGTGAGGAGTTGGCGGCCTTCCTCATGGAGGATGTTTATCCAGGTCTGGGACAGGAGGCAAGTTTTTGGAGAACACCCCACGGATGTGTCTCAAGCAGAATCCTGTCCCAGACGGTTGTTAAGACTTGGGGGCAGTGGAATTACTTGGGGAGGGGGTATAGAACTGGGTCAGTGCCCTTGGAGGCCTCGATGTTGGGGAATGGGCTGTGGGAGCAGGTCTTCTGTGGGAGCTTGATGGGAGCAGCGGGGAGGAGGGAAGAGAACTGGGGGCTGGTCCCCTCACCCTTCCTGCGACGACGCTGACTCCAGGCAGCTCTGGTAGGTGAGGCTGGAGCCCCCTGCCTGACACTGGCCTGGAGCTCATGCCATGACCTCAGGGTCTAAGTTGAACTCCAGGCCTTGTGGGCCTCCTGGAGATGGTGTGGGGCAAGTGTCCTGAGCCAGACCTCTTCCTCCAGGACCTGAGCACTGCCCTGCCCTCAGGGCAGGTCTGCCACGACCAGCAGCGGCTGGAGGTGATCTTTGCAGACCTGGCCCGGCGGAAGGATGACGCCCAGCAGCGCAGCTGGGCCCTGTATGAGGACGAGGGTGTCATCCGCTGCTACCTGGAGGAGCTGCTGCACATTCTGGTGCGGGCTGGGTGCCCCCAGATGTCCCCCACCCCTGCCCCATCCCTCCCCAGTGCTCGGGAGTCTCCCCTATTCATCCTCAGCTCACTCACATGTGGCCACCTTACACTGAGTGACTCCATCACACTTCGTCCTCCCCACAGACGGATGCAGACCCTGAAGTTTGCAAGAAAATGTGCAAGAGGAATGAGTTCGAGTCTGTCCTGGCCTTGGTGGCCTATTACCAAATGGTGTGTGGGAAACAGAGGGGAGGGGGCACAGAGGGACCTGGGTAGAGGTGGGGGTTCCGGGCATTGAGCACACAGGGTCCCCTGCCAGGAGCACCGGGTGTCGCTGCGGCTGCTGCTCCTCAAATGCTTCGGCGCCATGTGCAGCCTGGACGCAGCCATCATCTCCACACTAGTGTCATCTGTGCTGCCTGTGGAGCTGGCGCGGGACATGCAGACAGACACGCAGGGTGAGTGAGGGGCAGCTTCCTGCCAGCTGGGGAGGTTCCCGCCATCTGGGGGGCTCTGACCGCCTGCTTTGCTCCCCCACAGACCATCAGAAACTCTGTTACTCTGCCCTCATTCTGGCCATGGTCTTCTCCATGGGGGAGGCAGTGCCCTATGCACACTATGGTAAGAAGGCAGGTCACTGACCAGCGGACCACAGGGAGCCCACAGCCCGCTGGAGGTGGGGCCCATGGCCGAAGGGGCTGGGCACCCACTGACTGTAGTCTGACTGAATGTCTCCAGGGCTCACAGAAACCCAGGGAGGCTGGGCGGTGTGGCGGTGTGTGACGGGGGGCGGGCTGCAGACTTCCACGTGCCCCTCTCCCAGAGCACCTGGGCACACCCTTCGCCCAGTTCCTGCTGAGCATCGTTGAGGACGGGCTGCCCTTGGACACCACCGAGCAACTGCCGGATCTCTGCATGAATCTACTTCTGGCTCTCAATTTGCACCTGCCAGGTGGGGGCAGGGCCTGACGGGGGTGGCTGACTCGCCGTAGGGGGGAGGAGGGGGGCTCTCCAGGCTTAGCACCTGTGCTGTTGTCTACCCCCGTGTCCTTCCTCAGCCCCTGACCAGAACTTCATCATGGCCGCTCTGAGCAAACACGCCAATGTCAAGATCTTCTCCGAGAAGCTACTGTTGCTCCTGAACAGAGGGGGTGAGGACCCAGGAATCTGTGTGGGGCCCCTTCGATGTCCTGTGACTCCATGACCTCTGTAACTCGCTGGGGTGACTCTGGGCCCCCTCGAGGACTGCTCTGACCCCCTCTTTCCCCTGCCTTCTAGATGACCCCGTGCGCATCTTTAAGCATGAACCTCAGCCGCCACACTCCGTCCTCAAGTTCCTGCAGGACGTGTTCGCCAGCCCCGCCACAGCTGCCATCTTCTACCACACGGATATGATGGCGCTCATCGACATCACCGTGCGGCACATCGCGGACCTGTCGCCTGGAGATAAGGTGCCTGGGGATGGCAGCTGTGTAGAAACTAACAAAAGGGGGGCACCTGACACTGAATGGAGACTAGGGCGAGGGGCACTGCTGGAGCCAGGTAAGTGTGGGAGGCCGCTCAACCATGACAGGTGTGCCAAGACCCAAAGGAGCCCGCCATGAGGTGGTCGGGGGTGGGCTGTCTGAAGAAAGCAGGAGTGGAGGGAGTGGTGGGAGGTGAGGAGGAGGAAGTAGAGTTTACACAAAGCCTTGGAGGCTGCGGCGGGAGGTTGTCACCCCTTCTCAGGGGCAGGGGAAGTGATCTGATTACCATCCTGAATGAAACGGAGACTGAAAGCACAGCAGAAGCGGGAGGCTGGTGAGGAGGCGGCTGCAGCTGTCCATGTAGCACGAATAGGCTGGGAGAGGAGGTCAGGCCGGGGTGTGTTGGAGGTGGGTTGGCAGGGCTTGCTGCTGGATTGGTCTGGAGCAACCGGGTGGATGAAGTGCCGATTGCTCAGGTGGGGAAGAACCTTTGAATAGAGTTGTGTTTTGATGTGTCAAGACTGAGAAGATACCTGTTGGACATCCAGGTACAGAGGACCTGGGGTGTGAGTTGGGACTGGAAAGAGACACTTTGGAGTTGGCTGTGCATAGATGTGCTGGGAAGCCTGTGACAGTGCGGTCACCTAGGGTGTGGGATGGATGGGACAGAGGGAAGCTCAGGCCTCAGCCCAGGGCACAGTCGGGGCACATAGGGAGACACCCAGGAGGAAAACCAAGAGAGCAGGAGCCCAAAGCCACGTGTATGGAGGAGGAGGGGGATGAGCCGTCTCCACAGTTAGGAGCCCGAGTGAGATGAGGCCTGAGAATGAGCCACGGGATTCGCCACATGGAGATGAGGCATGATTCACAAGCAGCGTCCATGGACTGGAGGGAAGAGAGTCTGAGTGGGAAGTTGAAGAGAGGATTTGAAGTTGGAGGGGAGTAGAAAGGGGGAAGATGGGAGCAGTGAATGTGTGTTTTTTCGTGTGTTTTTAAGTGAAGGGGAGCAGAGAAAGGTGGGGGATCACTGGAGGGAGACATGGGGTCAGGGAAAGTCTTTTAAAGGTGGGAGATGCTGGTGCATGTCTGAGTCAGAGGGAATGATCCAGCACGCCAATCATGGAGAAACGGCTGATGTGTCAGGAGAGTCAGCCGCTGCGGGTGTCAAGTAGGTCAGGCAGCAGGGGAGGGTCCAGGCCCCCCTGGAGGGATGGCCTCTGGCAGGAGCCAGGACAGTTCATTCACTGGGGACAGGTGAGGTGTGGGTGCCGGGGGAAGACCAGGCGTTTCTGAAAGTCTGCTTGTTTTCTGCATGAAGCACAAAGCCAACTGATCGGGCCGTTTAGGTTTGGAAAATGGAGAGAAGGTGGGCAGTGGTCCTTTCAGGAACAGTGAACGTGGCAGAGGAAAGTGGCAGGGGTGCCAGGCAGTGAGGTTTGTGGTGGCGAATGCCGTTCAAGCCTGCACAAGACTCTAATTGTCTGCTGCTTAGCTTCTAGGATTTGATTGGCAGGTGCTTTTTGGTCTGACCAGGGTTGGGAGTTAGCAGGGTGATGCTGCCTAAAGAAGGTTTGAGTATTGACTCCTCTAATCAGAGGTAAAGAGAGAAATGAGGGATGGTGAGGGGAGCAAATGGAGGAAAAAGTGCTGGCGCCAGGTCAATGGATCAGGGTCTCAGTGAGGATAAGGAGCAGCTGGGGTGTCAGATTGGAGTGGTTCTTGGAGCTGTTAAAGCCAGAGGTGCTGGAAGGGTGGGTTGGCGGGGAGTGTTGGAGATGGATTCACGGCACACGTAGAAGGCAAGACGGCCGGGCCTTACTGGGACGGATTGGATTCGGGGTGTGGGGAGAAAGGAACCGGAGGGGACACGTGCAGTTTTGGCTTGAGCACTTGAATGGACAGCAGTGCTCTTTATTAAAATAAAGAACACGAGAAAGCCTTCAGCTTTGGGAAGATGGGGAAGATCACGAGTTTGATGGTTGTTATGTGAGTTTGAGTTCTCTCTGAGATAAGCAGGAGGTGACAAGTGGGCAGTTGGATTTTCTCATCTGCAGCTCACCGGAGAGTCTCTGCAAGAGGTTTGAGTGGGGGTCACTATTTGAAGCTGTGGGTGTGAATGAGATCTTCCAGGGTGAGAGGATAGAGTGAGAAGCAGAGGGCCTCCAACAGACAGACAGCAGCCCCACAGGGGCCCAGCATTACAGGAGGGATGGGGGCTCGCTGCTTCCCCTCGCCACCTCTCTGAGGCAGGACTTCCCTGGGCCGGCCGTGTTCTGGGACTGTGTGTGTCTCAGATGATTTATTTATTCGCTTACTTATTCAACGACTATCAAAGGCCAGTTCTGTGCCAGGTCCACTCTGGGTGCTGGGGATGCAACCCTGATCTTCAGTGGTATGAGGTGGTCCACAGCCCTGGGGTCCGTGTGGCTGCCAGGAGGCAGTAGTGGCCTGTCCCTGTCTGGTGGCAGTCTCAGTGCCTCCCTGGGGTCCCTGAGCTTGCCTGGTCTCCCCACAGCTTCGCATGGAGTACCTCTCCCTGATGCACGCTGTGATCCGCTCCACACCCTACCTACAGCACCGCCACCGGCTCCCCGACCTGCAGGCCACACTGCGACGCATCCTAACCGAGGAGGAAGCCTCGCCCCAGTGTCAGATGGACCGCATGATTGTCCAAGAGATGTGCAAGGAATTCCCGGTGCTGGGCGAGGCCCCCAGCTAGCACCTTCTTTTCCTCCCTTCCCTGCAGCCCTGGGTAGGGTGCAGGGGACTCGGAGGCTTGGCCCTAAGAATGTTTTGCACTGACAGTGTGAGGGGCGGTGATGGTGGAAGGGACCTAAGCAGGGGCCCCCACCTGAAATAGAGCTAATGAGAGGGGCCAAGCGCAGGATTAGGGACCACGCGCTGGGAGCTATGCTGGGGCAGGGGGAGTGTAAACTGAAGCCCCTCCATCTCCCGCTGGGCTGCCTCTTCAGCATGCCTCCCCACCCCATACACGTGCACACTCAGAGTCCTGCTGCTGCTCCAGGCTGGGCCAGAGCCCTCATCCCCCGCGCCCACCTGGTCTGTGTCCTGGGCTTCAGCAAGCCGTGTCCCTGGGGTGAGAGGAGGCACGTTCCGCCAGCTCTGTTCTTTGCCTTAGCTTCACAGTGAGTGCTGCTCATGTGCTCTGTCCCCCCAGCCGCCACCCCGTGGGGGTCTCTGCCCCCACTCCAGCCCCCAGAGGTCTTGGCCAAGCTGCTTCTTTGAAAGCAGAGTCTTAGAGACAGGCCATCCACCCTGGAGCCTCACAGAATGAGGTGATGGCACTGATAAAGCCAATGACAGAATCTATTTTCTCTGTAAAAACGTAGACTGAAAAGCCATGTGTATTTTCCTATGTGCTGCAGCTCAGCTTGGAAATAAATCACAGGCATCTGGAAACAGGCTTCCCTGTATGATCCTGAGTGGTGGTGGGAGAGGATGGTCAGGGGCACTGGGGCCTCAGGACCTCGTCACTAGCTTGCCCTGTCCTCTCCAGCCTGAGGAGGTGATGGTCCCTAACAGGCCTCTCCATCGAGGTCCCTTGAGCCCTGTTCCAGCCTCTCTTCCCACTTCTTCTGGGCCACAGCCACAGCCACTGAGAGCCCCATGGTCCATTTGCAGGTGACTGCCCCTCGAGGCTTCACTTACATCTTTCTTTGCCTTGAATGCTGTGTCTGTCTCCCCTGTTGAAACCCTATATCCTTTATACCTGTTCTCAAATTAAGCGGCTCCTATCCAAGCCCTGGCCTCCCTGAACTCTTAGGGCTGCCCAACTGTTTCCCTTCCTTATTTGTCTTCCTCTGGATCCAGCGAGGTTCCCTCATTTTGCAGCCTTAGCGGAGATTTGGTAATTACAGTAGGACAAAAAGAATACCTCAACAAGTGTGGGGTTAGTTGTGCACTGTTTGAGGGGAATCAGAGGCCAACGTTGAGCAAAAAACTTTTTCCTCGTGGGCTCCCCAGTTAACTAAGGCTGTCACCATAAGTTGGGGAAGAGAGTCAGAACCTGTAGGCAGACACCAGGCAGCAGTGGTTTCCATCAGTTCCCTTCAGTTTGTTACCCAAGATGATTCTCATCAGATTCCACACATCCAGAATCACTGATGCTGTGACTTCTCGCCACGACTTTTCCTTTCTTAATGGGGTGCTGAAGGCAGAGGGCTTTTACTCTCAGCAGAACGGACTACGGCAAGAAGCCCAGCAAGGCCAGTCCAGGGGTGGGGTCCCAGGGAAACAGGTCCATGGGAGCAAAGCACAGGAGGCCAGCAGGGAGATGTCCTTCCTGACCTGTTGACTCTTCCAGAAGTTTAAGTGCACAGGCTCACCTGGACCTGAGGAGGAGCTGACACAGTTGTCTGCAAGAAAGCTCTGTGTGGTACAACCTGGTCACTTCATCCTGGAGGCATCTGCCTCCCTTCCACAGACGGAATCAACAACGCTGACTTCCAGGTACAGCTCCTTTCTCATTGGAGTGCTGAAGGCGGAGAACCATGGTTCTCCTCCTGAGAGCAAGTAACTCAGTGATAAGCACAGGTCCTCAGGAAGCTGAGGCAGGAACATTTGATAGCCTCTGTGCCTTGCTCTGTTTGCTGTTAGGCTGCACACACTGACCTCGTGGGAAAAGCAGGGCAGTGCTTTGCCATCTGTCCTAGTGCTGGCCCCCGTGAGAAACGAAGTGCAGCCCCGTGGCTGGAAGATCAGAGCCCCTGCCCACTTCTGTGTGATTGTCCAGGGGACCCTTGCATGTGTTTGTAAGGAGACACTCAGAAGGGCCAGGACTCCAGGACCGTCAATAAACACGTTGATGGTGTCTCACCGCACAGAATTAAAGCTACCAAGGACAATGACTAGCCAGAGAATTCCTCAGGGAAGGAACTGTCTGAGAGAATACCTCTGACTGCTTGGAAGGATGGTAGACGTGGATGTGGTTAGGCAGGGGAAAGGGCAAAGAGAGAGAAAACTAAGGCACTCAAAGAAGGGAGTGACAGGGTGGGGCTGAGGAAAACTCAAATTTTGAGGGGCAGTGAGGGCTGGGCGTTTGGGCCAACCTCTGGGCTAGAAGTGGGTCCCTACAGGTGTGGTACCATGTCTGTGGGACATGTCTGAGTACAACATGCTACATGTGCATAAGGCAACTCCCGGGTAAGGGGTTGGGTGAAGACCACCTGCCTGCTCAGTCCCCAAAAGATACAGACTGAGGCTCCAAGTATGTGAGGATAACCTTTTCTTTTTCTCTCTTATTTAATGGAAGAATAACATACTATGAAAGCTACAGTATGCAAAGAGTACAGCTAATGAATTATGACAGAAGATGCTAATGTAGTCACCACCCAGTGTCACTAGTTCCCAAAGCCCACTGTGCACCCCTCTCATTCACCAACTCCTTCCTTCTCCCCAGACCTCTTCCCTAGAGGTAATTACTGATAAGTTTTGCCTGTTTTTGAACTTTATATAAATAGAATCATATAGACACTGGCTTCTTCACTCACCAAGTTTTTGAGGTTTGTCTATGTCATAGTATGTGGTTGCAGTTTGTTCATTCCCAGTGTCCTGTGGGTTACACCCTCATTTATTTATCCACAGTTAACGACTGTGGATAAATTTCAGTTTCCAATTTTTGTCTATTACGAATTGTGCTGTCAGGAGCACTGTTGTACATGTCTTCTTGTTGCTCATATGCCTTGCACCAGGAGGTATATCCTCAAGAGTGGAATTGCAGGGTCACAGGCAGAAACTGCCAAATAGTTTCCCAAAGTAGTTGTACCAGTGTACTCTGCTCCACTGGTGCCTGAGTTCCAGCTGCTCTATATCTTTCTCAAAACCTGGTGTTGTCAGTCATTTTCATTTTAGTCATTCTGGTGCAGTATAGTAGTATTTGCTTTTACACTTGCGTTTCCCTGACGACTAAAGAGGTTGAGCACCTTTTCATTAGTTTACTGGCTATTTGGATCTTCTCTTGTGAAGCACCTGTTCACATCTCTTGCACATTCATCGACTGGGTTGTCTATCTTTTGTTGGTTTGTAGTATGTATTCAGGATATGAGTCCTTGGGTTGTATATCTTACAGTATCTTCTCCCATTCTTAACATCTTTTGATGAAAGGAAGTTCTTAATTGTAATGTAATCCAGTTTTTCAGTATTTTCCTTTATGGTTAGTACATTTTGTATCCTATTTAAAAAATACATATTTGCGGACTTCCCTGGTGGCGCAGTGGTTGAGAGTCCGCCTGCTGATGCAGGGGACGCGGGTTCGTGCCCCGGTCTGGGAAGATCCCACATGCCGCGGAGCGGCTGGGCCCATGAGCCATGGCCGCTGAGCCTGCGCGTCCAGAGCCTGTGCTCTGCAACGGGAGAGGCCACAACAGTGAGAGGCCTGTGAACTCCCCCCCAAAAAAATATATATATATACATATATATATATATTTGCTTAAAGTCATGAAGAACTTCTGTGTTCTCTTCTAAAAGCTGCATTGTCTTTCCTTTCATATTCACATGTCAAACCTGGAATTGATTATGAAGGTAGTATGAAGTAGGGGTCTCATGTAATTTTTTTCTACATGGATGTCCAATTGACCCAGCACCATTTATTGGAAAGCCCATCCTTTGTGTTGGCTCTTAAGAGCCACCCTTGTCAAAATTCAAGTCTCCACACATCTTTAGACCCCTCTCTGGATTTTGTTCCATTCATCTGTCTATTCCTGCACCAGCACCATACAGTCTTGGTTTCTGTAGCTGTAGCTTTCTTGATCTCCTATAGACGAAGCTGTTCTCCTACTTGGGTTTTCTTCAGACTGTCTTGGGTATTCCTGTCCCGCGTACGTTTTAGAATCCAGTTTGTCAGTTTACACACACACACACACACACACGCACACACACACACACACACTGCACAGTATCTACTGGGATTTCTATCGGAGTTGCATTGAATCCATTCTTTGGGAAGAATTAACATGTGTGCAATACAGGCATACCTCATTTTGTTGCACTTCACAGATAAACTGCATCTGTTACAAATTGAAAGGTGTTGAAGGTTTGTGGCAAACCCTGTGTCAAGCAAGTCTAATTGTTGCCAATTTTCCAACAGCATTTGCTCACTTCATGTCTCTGTGTCACATTTTGGTAATTCTCATAATACTTCAGACTTTATCATTATTATATTTGTTATGATGATCTGTGATCAGTGATCTTTAATGTTGTTTTTCTTTTATTTTTGGCCACGCCATGCAGCATGCGGGATCTTAGTTCCCCCACCAGGGATCGAACCCGTACCCCCTGCAGTGGAAGTGCTGAGCCCTAACCGCTGGACCGCCAGGGAATTCCCTGGTGTTACTTTTCAAAAAGATTACAACTCACTGAAAGCTCAGGCGATGGTTAGCATTTTTTAGCAATAAGGTATTTTTTTTTTAATTTTGTGGTCCCCCCACCTTTTTAGGTTTTGATTTTCTCTTTTTAAAAAAATACTTATTTATTTATTTGGTTGCACTGGGTCTTAGTTGCAGCAGGTGGGCTCCTTAGTTGTGGCTCATGGGCTCCTTAATTGCGGCAGGCAACCTCCTTAGTTGTGGCATGCGAACTCTTAGTTGCCGCACGCATGTGGGATCTAGTTCCCTGGCCAGGGATCGACCCCAGCCCCCTTGCATTGGGAGCACAGAGTCTTAACCACTGCGCCACCAGGGAAGTCCCAGCAATAAGGTATTTTTAATTAAGGTATGTGCATTTTTTTAGGCATAATGCTGTTATTGCAAACTTAATAGACTCTAGTCTAAACATAACTTTTATATGCCCTGGGAAACCAGAAAATTTGTGTAACTCACTTCATTGTGATATTTGCTTTATTGCGGTGGTCTGAAACTGAACCCACAGTATCTCCGAGGTATGCCTATATTTAATCTTTCAGTCTTTGAACATAGTTTTCCACTCCATTTATGTCTTTATTTCTCTCAATAATGTTTTTTTCTTCCAGTGTTTCTTGAGATATAATTGACATAGAGCACTATATAGGTTTAAGGTATACAGCCTAATGATTTGACTTACATACATCATGAAATGATTATCGCAGTGTTTAGTGTCAATAATGTTTTATTGTGTGTGTGTATGTGTGTGTGAAGAGTCATTGCACATATTTCATTATATTTATTCTAGCAATTTACCTTACATGATGCTACTGTAAATCACATCATGAAAAAAATTTTTCTTACTTGTTGATATATAGAAATTACAACTGATTTTTATATATTGACCTTGCATCCAATGAATGCTAAACTCTAACAATTTATCTATAAGTTCTTTTGGATTTTTTACATACACATTCCTGTTGCCTGTGAATAAGTTTTCTTTTTTCCTTTCCAATCCTTGTACCTTTTTCTTGCCTTACTGTGCTGGCGAAGCCCTCCAATATAATATTAAGGCTTGTTGTCAAGAATGTGAAATGTTTTCCTCTAGCAATGCTCTGCTGCTCCAGAGGTGAGGAATTCACAAGTAGTCTATTTTTTTTTCACAATTCACAACATTTTATTCAAGTTAATACATTTCATTCAGTAATCAGCCATATTATCCTTGGCACCATTAATAACCCCTTAATCACAAGAGAAACAGAGGGAAAGACTGAGATTTATGTGTAGAAGTTGATCTCCACCAAAACTAATTCATAGTCCATCATCTTTCATGGTTGTGCTTTTACTTGAGGCCTCATTTTTGGGGCGAGGGGGCTGTTTCTCATAAGTGTTTGCTTAAAACAAATAACATGACCTACGTGGAAGGAAAATAAGGTCTAGTCCCTAGTGAACAAGCAGGGGATCCTCCAGGAAAGGAGCCCTAAAGGCTCCTTGAAGTGACAGTAACCCTTCTGCCCCAACCAGTCAGTAGTAAGTTATAACCAGGTGAATGAGAGAGGTAGTAACTAGCTGGAGAACCCATGGTCTAGACTCTCTAGAACAGGAATGGCTGAGTGAGTCAGAACTGGAGGGAGACATCTACAGTGTCTGGAAAAAGTGACCAAGAATAGGAAAGTGTGAAAAAGATACAGGTTTCCCACCAGGGTACCCACAGAAAGATGGTGGTACCAGTCAAGGGCAGTCCTGTGCTTTTCTCTGACACAAGGTTACACTGAATGGGTTCTGCAATTTTCAGATAAAAATTGGAATGACGCTGAACAAGTCAAAGTGAAATCAGAGTTTCCCTCCTTTGTTCGGTAGACACTGATAGAACAGCTGTGTGTGAAGCGATGGGACAGGTGCTAGAGGAAAAAAATGAAGCTGTCTTAAGATGTGGTCCTGACTTGAAGGTGGCCATCAGACCCCGCACATACAGAGCACTATGTTGGAGGGTCTGAGTGGAGGGAAGCATCACTTCTGGCTGGCAGCAGCAGAGAAAGCATTCCCCAGTCGTTCCTTCTTGGTTCCCAGGATGTCCTCTGTGCCTCTGTGTCACCACTTGGCCTGCCCCATTCCAGGCACTTGCTTGTCTTCCTTATCTTTCTCCATAATGTGAAATGGAAGCCTGGGAGGAGAAGATCCCGCCTCACAGGTGTCTAACAAATGTGGGTGGAATTGATGTGTTACGGAAGTGTCACTCAATTTTGGTCCAGGTGGGTGGAAAAAAATTTGGGGAAAGGAGAGCTAATAAGATGGTGGTGGTAAGGGTAAGGTGTTATAATCAGAAGGCGGGAGCGATGATATCCCAACAAGCAAACTTAGTACGTGGCTTAAACCAGGTGATAGAACGCCAACACAGCCAAGGACCGCAAGAAGGTAGCTGGAAGCCCTCTGCCGAATAGGTTAGTCTGCAGAACTGGAAAGCTAAAATCTTTTCCTACTATCTACTCAAGTTTAACCAGAGCAGATGAAGAAATAATGAATAACTAGAGGGTCGTAACTTTCTAGAAAGATCAAGTAAACACAGCACCCCCCAAAAAAGGTGAGGCTGAATGTCAAAGTGTAGAGGAAGCTTTTGAAAATTTTTTTTTTTTTTCTCCTAGGAACTTAGCTGTATTTTCTCTCTTTTTAAAATCGAAGTATAGGGCTTCCCTGGTGGCGCAGTGGTTGAGAGTCCACCTGACGATGCAGGGGACATGGGTTCGTGCCCTGGTCTGGGAAGATCCCACATGCTGCGGAGCGGCTGGGCCCGTGAGCTATGGCCGCTGAGCCTGTGCGTCCGGAGGCTGTGCTCCGCAACGGGAGAGGCCACAACAGTGAGAGGCCCGCGTACCGCAAAAAAAAAAAAAAAAAAAAAAAAAAAAAATCGAAGTATAGTTGGTTTACAATATTATATTAGTTTCAGGTGTACAAAATAGGGATTCAGTTTTTTTGGATATCTTTTTTTAAGTTTGTTTTTGGCATCTTGATCTGTAAGCAATCAAGTAATAGATGCCATCCCAAAAAGGAATGTTTGCAGGAACCAGAGTAGTTGAATCCAACTATGCGTGATGCCTTTAGACTTGAACAATCCAATGGCATACAAGGACTCTCCCAC